TGACCGACCACCACACGCAAGCTGCCCATCAACTGCGACCAACCCGCTTATACCGCTGGATGAATCGAGGAGAGGGGGGATTTCAGAAACCTGCACTCGTGTTTCTAATGATATGCCGTGAGATACAATCGAGCTTTGTATTTGAGCTCTGTTGAAGTTGACATTTATAACTACTCAACTGTTCTTATTATTATCATACACAGAGTAGATAACACTCATACAACTATGTAACCAGACACTTCTAATTTTACACACACACACACAACAAGTTGCGTAGCTATTTCCTGTTTTAATTTTGACACTGCTTCCATGTGGGGTTTGTTTCTTTTTGCCCTTATTTTCGTATTTCACAGAGACAACTACGGGGCTAAAAGGCATACAAAGAGAAGCACACACACGCCACATTTGGTTCAATCCGGTCTTCACAACGGCGCTATGCTTTGGTAGCACCAAGTCATGCACGTGGCATACATGGCAGGCAGCGGCAGGACCCCATTCAAACACACACACACACGAGCCAACACCGAAATGGTCAACATTCGCCCGACAGGCTTCACACACACACACAGCGCCTATGTTCTAGCAATTGTCGTGTACACGTTGACACACACAGACAAACGCAGGTGCTTCATCCACTCCAATTCGCTCCAAGCAGACGGAGTGTGACACGGAGATGGCCACAGTGGGACCCGTGCCCTCTGCCACCCGCGTCCTTCTCGTTACTTCACTGTAGCTGCTACCACGTGTGGAGTCGTCTACGGCCTTCGGATTAAACGTGCACATGTTTCTAACCTTGGCCGTGACAACTTTGAAGAATAGGCCAAATACGCTCGAGATGAGCTTCTTAAGAGCTCCCTTGACTGGAGGTTTTTTTTCCCCAGCAGGGGCATGAGCACGCACTTTCTGCGCTGCGCCTTTACGGAATTGTTGTGATCTTGGCCATCACAACACCGCAATCCTGGTAAGAGTGACAGCCTTTAGCCAACTAGAATAGCAACAACAACGACAACAGTGTTGTAGTTTTCTTTTTGTAATATAATCGAGGTCTCCCTTCGAGTGGCTACGTTTAGTCTCAATGGGCTCGCCGCACCTGCTTCGTCAATGGGCGCAGACACTCCAGCAGCTCACGCACACAGCAGCAGCAGCTCACACACAGCAACTCACACACAGCAGCTCACACGCACAGCAGCTCACGCACAGCAACTCACGCACAGCAACTCACGCACAGCAGGTCACGCACAGCAGGTCACGCACAGCAACTCACGCACAGCAGGTCACGCACAGCAGGTCACGCACAGCAGCTCACGCACACCAGGTCACGCACAGCAGCTCACGCACAGCAGCTCACGCACAGCAGGTCACGCACAGCAGCTCACGCACAGCAGGTCACGCACAGCAGCTCACGCACAGCAGCTCACGCACAGCAGGTCACACACAGCAGGTCACACACAGCAACTCACACACAGCAGCTCACGCACATCAACTCACACACAGCAGGTCACACACAGCAACTCACACACAGCAGCTCACACACAACAGGTCACGCACAGCAGCTCACACACAGCAGCTCACACACAGCAGCTCACACACAGCAACTCACGCACAGCAGGTCACGCACAGCAGCTCACACACAGCAGCTCACACACAGCAGGTCACGCACAGCAGCTCACACACAGCAGCTCACACACAGCAGGTCACGCACAGCAACTCACGCACAGCAGCTCACGCACAGCAGGCCACGCACAGCAACTCACACACAGCAACTCACGCACAGCAGCTCACACACAGCAACTCACGCACAGCAGCTCACACACAGCAACTCACGCACAGCAGCTCACACACAGCAGGTCACACACAGCAGCTCACACACAGCAACTCACGCACAGCAGCTCACACAGCAGGTCACACACAGCAGCTCACACACAGCAACTCACGCACAGCAACTCACACACAGCAACTCACGCACAGCAGCTCACGCACAGCAGCTCACACACAGCAATTCACACACAGCAACTCACGCACAGCAACTCACGCACAGCAGCTCACACACAGCAATTCACACACAGCAGCTCACACACAGCAACTCACGCACAGCAACTCACGCACAGCAGCTCACACACAGCAGGTCACACACAGCAGCTCACACACAGCAATTCACACACAGCAGCTCACACACAGCAACTCACGCACAGCAACTCACGCACAGCAGCTCACACACAGCAGGTCACACACAGCAGCTCACACACAGCAATTCACACACAGCAGCTCACACACAGCAACTCACGCACAGCAACTCACGCACAGCAGCTCAAACACAGCAGGTCACACACAGCAGCTCACACACAGCAGGTCACGCACAGCAGCTCAAACACAGCAGGTCACACACAGCAATTCACACACAGCAACTCACGCACAGCAACTCACGCACAGCAACTCACGCACAGCAGCTCAAACACAGCAGGTCACACACAGCAATTCACACACAGCAACTCACGCACAGCAACTCACGCACAGCAGCTCACACACAGCAGGTCACACACAGCAGCTCACGCACAGCAACTCACGCACAGCAACTCACGCACAGCAGCTCACACACAGCAGGTCACACACAGCAGCTCACGCACAGCAACTCACGCACAGCAACTCACGCACAGCAGCTCACACACAGCAGCTCACACACAGCAGGTCACACACAGCAGCTCACGCACAGCAGCAGCGTGGTGCGCTGCCTGCTGCTGCTGCATGAAGGCAGAGGAGCGACACTCTCTGTACTCTCAGTAACCACGCAGGCGGCCGCTGCTGACAACTCGACCCCATCCACGCTGAAGGTGCACATCGCCACGCGGAGTGCGGGGCGATGTAGACGCACGCACGGAGAGGCCATATAAGTCGACGGGGAGCATGGGGGGGAAACGAGGCACACTCAAACACACATACCACACACACACAGACACCGACTGCTCCTAGACTCTGTGCGCATATCCATGGCCACGCTTCCACAAGTGTTTGCAAGAGATGTTTTCTTAAGTCAAGCGCACACACACTCGCATAGTTCATAACTTGTCCATCGTAACGTTTTAAACGAAGACAAATGCGCGTCTTGCACTGCAACTACACGTGGCTCGTATCAATTAAACAGACAAACATCCCGTATACCACTCACTATTTACACACACACACTGTACCGTACCTTCATACCGTATTCCAGTGTATTGTAACACTTCCCCCAATAAATACACATCCCATACAAGCACGTTATCCTGTACACACACACACACTCTCTATAGGCACACTTGATCCCATACATTCACAAGCATCCTGTAGACTCTCCCCTATAGCCACATACCGTCGATGCATACACATCCATCCCACCCGGACACTCCACCTCTCCACACAATACGCGTGCAGTCTACTTAGCGCACACACGCACTGCCATGCACATAGCACCTCGCCCTGCTCCCACACTGCCATGCACCTAGCACGGCCCTCCTGCTCCTGCTGCTGCTACTGCTACTCCTGCTGCTACTGCTGCTGCTCCTGCTGCTCCTGCTGCTGCTACTGTTACTGCTGCTGTTACTGCTGCTGCTCCTGCTGCTCCTGCTACTCCTGCTGTTACTGCTGCTGCTCCTGCTGCTGCTGTTCCTGCTGCTGCTACTGCTACTCCTGCTGCTACTGCTGCTGTTACTGCTGCTGCTCCTGCTGCTCCTGCTGCTGCTACTCCTGCTGTTACTGCTGCTGCTCCTGCTGCTGCTGTTCCTGCTGCTGCTACTGCTACTCCTGCTGCTACTGCTGCTGTTACTGCTGCTCCTGCTGCTGCTACTGTTACTGCTGCTGTTACTGCTGCTGCTCCTGCTGCTCCTGCTACTCCTGCTGTTACTGCTGCTGCTCCTGCTGCTGCTGTTCCTGCTGCTGCTACTGCTACTCCTGCTGCTACTGCTGCTGTTACTGCTGCTGCTCCTGCTGCTCCTGCTGCTGCTACTCCTGCTGTTACTGCTGCTGCTCCTGCTGCTGCTGTTCCTGCTGCTGCTACTGCTACTCCTGCTGCTACTGCTGCTGTTACTGCTGCTGCTCCTGCTGCTCCTGCTACTCCTGCTGTTACTGCTGCTGCTCCTGCTGCTGCTACTGCTACTCCTGCTGCTACTGCTGCTGTTACTGCTGCTGCTCCTGCTGCTCCTGCTGCTGCTACTCCTGCTGTTACTGCTGCTGCTCCTGCTGCTGCTGTTCCTGCTGCTGCTACTGCTACTCCTGCTGCTACTGCTGCTGTTACTGCTGCTGCTCCTGCTGCTCCTGCTGCTGCTACTGCTACTCCTGCTGTTACTGCTGCTGCTGCTCCTGCTGCTGCTGTTCCTGCTGCTGCTACTGCTACTCCTGCTGCTACTGCTGCTGTTACTCCTGCTGCTGCTCCTGCTCCTGCTGCTGCTGCTCCTGCTGCTGCTGCTCCTACTCCTGCTGCTGCTGCTCCTACTCCTGCTGCTGCTGCTACTCCTGCTGCTGCTGCTGCTCCTGCTGCTGCTCCTGCTGCTGCTGCTGCTCCTGCTGCTGCTGCTCCTACTCCTGCTGCTGCTGCTACTCCTGCTGCTGCTGCTGCTCCTGCTGCTGCTCCTGCTGCTGCTGCTGCTCCTGCTGCTGCTGCCATACAAAGAGGCGCACAGCGGCGCCAGCTCCTCGCAATCGCGCCCCGGCTCCGCTCGCAGCGACCCCGAGCGGAGCCGCCACCGACACCACCGACACCGTCGCCTGCAAGACGCAGGGAGCGCTGGTGGCGGTGGTGGTGGCTTCTCTCGCTACATCCCCCTGTCTCTCTGTGTGTCTCTCTCTCTGTGTCTGTCTGTCTCTGCGTCTCTGTGTGTCTCTGTCTCTGTGTGCACGGCAGCCGTGAGGAGCTGGCAGCAGCAGTAGCAGCAGGCGCGCTCACGAGAGGAGGAGGAGGGAGACGGGAGCGGAGCTCTGCGGCGGCAGCGGCAGCAGCGGGAGGGGGACGGGGACGCCGCGCAGGGTACCTCTCGCTTCACTGGAGGCAGAGGGACATCTTCTTCATGCGCTCACTGGCCCGGTGCACGTGTTGTTCTTGTTGTTGTTGTTCTTGTTGTTGTTGTCACTGCTAGAGGACGTCGTCTCTCGCCCAGCTGCTGTACGCACAGTCGGCGTGCGTTCCTCTCTGGCCCCTCTCCCCCACTCTCCCCCTCCTCCTGTGCCTCTCCCCCTCCTCCTGTGCCTCTCCGCTCTCTCTCTCTCTCTCTCGCAAAACTTCAAGGCGGAGCGAGCAACAATCTCCCGAACCCCTCTGGAGGCCACCGCACGAACTGTCGCCGTCTCCCGAGAAGCTGGCGACTTCTCCTCCTCCTCCTTCCCCAGGCAATGACGGTGCGACTCCTGTGCGTGGACACCTCATCGCCCACCCCCAGGGGCAGATCTCAACACCCACACAGCCACCATCACAGCCACTCCTCTCCTGCCCACCGATCCCCACTCACTCCCCTTGTCAACTGAAGCCCGATGCAGATCAGCGGACCTCCACCCCCCATCCTCCTCCTCCCCACCTCCGTGACCACCACAGCCATTCCCATCCCCCGCCTTGGCGTTCACCCTGCCACGCCGCGTAGCGTGCACGTGGGGGGTGTGTGGGGTTGTGTGTGGGGTGTTGGGTCTGTGTGGGGTGCGTGTGGGGTGTGTGTGTGTGGGGTGTGTGAGGTGTATGTGCGCGTGTGTGGTGTGTGTGGGGTGTGTGGTGTGTGTGTGCTGTGTGTGTGGAGTGTGTGGTGGGTGTGTGGGGGGTGTTGTGTGTGTGGTGTGTGTGTGGTGTGTGTGGTGGGTGTGTGGGGTGTGTGTTGTGTGTGTGTGTGGTGTAGTGTGTGGTGTAGTGTGTGGGGTGTGTGTTGTGTGTGTGGGGTGTGTGTGTGTGGGGTGTGTGTGGTGTGTGTGGTGTGTGTGTTGTGTGTGTGGGGTGTGTGTGTGGTGGGTGTGTGGGGTGTGTGGTGTGTGTGTGTGGGGTGTGTGTTGTGTGTGTGGTGTGTGTGTGTGGTGTGTGTGTGGGGTGTGTGGTGTGTGTGTGCGTGGTGTGTGTGTGGGGTGTGTGTTGTGTGTGTGGTGTGTGTGTGGGGTGTGTGGGGTGTGTGGTGTGTGTGTGTGGGGTGTGTCTGGTGTGTGTGGGGTGTGTGTGTGGTGTGTGTGTGGGGTGTGTGGTGTGTGTGTGCGTGGTGTGTGTGTGGGGTGTGTGTGGGGTGTGTGGGGTGTGTGTGAGGTGTGTGTTGTGTGTGTGGTGGGTGTGTGGGGTGTGTGTTGTGTGTGTGGTATGTGTGTGGGGTGTGTGTGTGGGGTGTGTGTTGTGTCTGTGGTGTGTGTGGGGTGTGTGTTGTGTGTGTGGTGGGTGTGTGGGGTGTGTGTTGTGTGTGTGGTGGGTGTGTGGGGTGTGTGTGGTGAGTGTTGTGTGTGTGGGGTGTGTGTGGGGTGTGTGTGGTGAGTGTTGTGTGTGTGGGGTGTGTGTTGTGTGTGTGGTGGGTGTGTGGGGTGTGTGTTGTGTGTGTGGGGTGTGTGTGGGGTGTGTGTGGTGAGTGTTGTGTGTGTGGGGTGTGTGTTGTGTGTGTGTGGGGTGTGCGCGCGTGTGCGCGATGGTGGGGTTCACGTGCTGACCCTCAGTGGGCAGAGCGATGTGCTAAGTTTGCATTATCAACGAGCAACTTGTCGCCAATTTTATATTTGTTCCTTTGCAGGCAACAGTGCTATTGGCGAATGTTTTTTTTTACAATAATATAGCAGATTTCGTGACACTTAGTGGCGAGAAACAGCACCATGATAATGCAACAACAATCATTGGGAAATGTACCAACATTCATTGCCGGACCCAATAAACAATTTGGTACGATCATTACGTGGCCTAACGAAAACATCAACTCTGAATCAATGCAATGCAGACGGCGCGAACACGTTATGCTGTGCTTGTGCACTGCCACCTTTATATTTAAGCAAACTACAACTTGGAAATGGGCAGCCTTTGCAAATGCATATTTGAACGTATTTAAGCTCATGACGTTGCTTTCTTGTTGTTTGGATAAACTAAAGGTATGTAGCAACGCTTCGCGAGATACGTGCATGCCTTGCGCGCCTCAATGTCATCTCGCGAACACTTTCACTCTTACACAATCCGGTGTACCCTGTGCCTTTATGGGTTCCTTCCACGTGCTTCGATTTATCAATTATCTATTCTTAATCTCACCATACGTACAAACATGCGTTCACACGTCAAATCGCGTCCGTCCAAATATGGGTTGTTTGCCACTGGTATGTCCTGGTTCATGAGTTCACGTGACACACGCAAGCCGCTAGAGGCCGCGACATTCACTGTTATGTCAAGTAGAAGGGGGTATTTCATCCTAAATTATATCTGTAACGATTCGCCTCTGATGCAGTTATAGATCTCATACGGGAGGAGCGGTAGCGCAGTGGTGAGCACACTATGGCCCCAGTGATCCTCAATTGTATTCCAAGCCACAGACAACATCAGTGGCGAGTGATGTTTGAAGCTGTCCTGCCCACCCGCACCCCATCTCCACCCATGCAACGACCCTCACTGACCATCTTGGTGAAATATGGTCAACCAACATGACAGACACTGCGTGGGGAGGCCTTCTTCCAGCAGTGGATTGACACATCGCGATACATTGCATTTATCACCAAACACGTGCATGTCATATGCATTTTAAATGTCATATACATAATACACAGTGTGATTTAAAAAAAAGTGTAAATAGTTGTATTGCATTGTGGGTGGATTCAAAGGACAGTGGTTTTGAAACACCATCCCATGTGTAAGTGTCCATGGTGGTGCCCTGTGTAAACCATCAAAAGTGACCCCCTACTCGGAATAACCCACAGAAACGTTTCACATTTCCGTGTGGTGGAGTCAGCCTCCTAGCGATTTTGATAGAACAGCGTTTCCAGCGGTCACAACCAGTGGGGGTGGTGCTAAGCCCATTGAGGGCCCGAAGCAGAAAATGTTTGTGGGACCCGCTCCCTTTTAAATGTATACAATCCTAGTGAGATGACAGGAGATAGAGCTGTAGGGAGATAAGAGAAATACAGATGAACAAAAGATCTAGTGAGACGAGAGCAGAGAGATGCAGACAGGATCAGGATGACAGAGATCAATTGGCCTCATTCATTAGATTGTTGTTGAATTTGAGCGATGCGCCCGTATTTTGCATGAATCTGGGGCCCCCTTGAGTTAATTTGCCCGTGGCCTTAAGCTTTTGCTGAGTTTGCTTATGCCTAGCGCCGCCACTGCTGAAAGCGGCGTTCACGTTTGCGGCGACCCGACTTTACCCTCCCATCACAAACGAGCGACTGCGCAATTTTCTGATCACAATTAGTGATCGTGACGGCCAGGGTCTGCGGTAATTGAATGGTGCAGCCCGCCACTGGCGTGTCCTGGCGCTCTGCGACCCGGTAACCTTCCCTCCTGCCGGGAGAGCAACGCAGAAACAAACTGGAATTTTTTTCTTTTTACCAGAAAGGCAATTAAGTAAAAAAAAAAAACTTGATACGAGTGCGTTTAGGTTCAATCAACGTTTCCTTCTAAACTCATTATCGATAAAAGGCAGTGATGGACAACAACGCATGCTGACCACTCGCTCCACCTCGAGAAGACCTCCCACGTGGGTTGCCTGCATGGTGTGTGTGTGGAAGGGATGATGACGTGTGATTATAATTGCAAGTTTACCAGCAATAGAAAACAATATGGACATTCCACAGGTTTATGGATAATGCGTGAAATAGATGTAAACATGTATTTAGTTATTTCGAGGCATGCACATGTTTTATCAAAATGACTGCATGATTAAATTCATACCCAGCGGTCGTGGGGTCGCCGCTTGTTGCAGAGATTAACGGTCCCAATGCAGCGGCCGCCCCGAGAGTGGGTTACACGTTTTGTGTTTAGTTTGTTGTCCTCCGATAATTATCGGAGTTGACTACGTACGGTGCGAAATAAGTGCAATTTACATGCTGCGGGAGTATTCATCGCACAGATACGCGCCATCTGCCTCGCAGTGGCACCTGAATGACCCCTTGATGTAATCCGCAAGAGTAGGTCAATGTGTGCCACATTTTTTTGCAAAAACTAAAACACATTGCCTTCAACTTACTCCATTGCAATATACTGTTCAGAGAAAGCATCGTCTCCTCGGCAGGCTCTTCCTGAAAAGAGCCATAAGACTCGCCGAGTCTTCCCAAGCATGATCATACTCAGAAGAATGATCACACAGGATGCAGGCAGGGCAGCACAGCCTGCCGCTTCGCGTTGCCTGTTTCCGCCGCCGTGAAATTTGTGCGAAGGCTGCGCAGTAATTGGCGACCTTAGCGACCTCAATAATGATCCTTGAATTATTAATTACAAAGTAGCGTTGAAGCAGCGAGAGTCGGTACACATTAGTCAAGTCTATAAACAGGTATAGTCTGAAACATCTGCTGGATTTTAATGGGCTTTTAGGGAAATTGCGAAACAATAATCACGCGTTTGCCGACGAGACAAACAACGTGCAGGAATATTCAACTATGAACATGCCTCGAAGTTTCGTTACTGCCCTGCGCAGGTACACTGTTCTGCGGGGAAGTAAAGAAACGCCACAACGTTGCGCCTGGTATCAATACAGGCATACAACATCTGGTCGCATACAACACCTACTGCATTATAAGGCATATTCCCAACCGTTATTTTAAACAATAAGGTGGGGAAAAAGTGGAGAATATGCAACATTTGAACGTCATTGGTTGTGATAACCTAGCGAATGAATGTTTATAAATGAGAGACGCCAACCTCGAACCCCGAGGGTCTGTCGACGACGACGACTATACACGAGGGAGAGCTTGCGAGTGCGTGATGATGTGATGGTTCACTGTAAAAGATGACAATTTGTGACAATGCACAGCCCTTTGTCAATCCACTGCTGGATGGAGACCTGCCCACGCCGTATCGCCAATGGGGGTTGCTTTAGAATGTCTCGCCGCTACGATGTCAGTGCGGGTTAGTGAAGGGGCGGTGCGGTTTGGGACCGGATAACATCAATCACCTCGTCACTCGTGTTCGCCTGGAATGAATCTCAGTGGCCGCCCTGCTCAGAGCCTTCTGCTGAAACCAATGCTCGACTCGAGACGACTCCTGGCGTTACAT